GGCTTGCTGAGATGCCTCATACGAGCCCGCAAGAGCACCTCTGTCATGCTTCACCCTCCTTATCTCATTGTGTATCTTCTCCTCTTGCACAGAGCTCCACACAGGAGATCGGAGAAGAGCTGGAGGATGGCGTGATCTACAGCATATCGCTCCGGAAAGTGCAGCTCCATCACACGGCCAACAAAGGGCAGCGATGGCTGGGGGTAAGCTGGGGGCTCTGCCAGCCTCCCACCACGGGGTGTTTTCAGATGTTTCCCTGCCTGAGACGTGATGACCTGAAGTCAGGGCTTGGCAGGGTCACTACCAGCCCATGTCCTGCCCTCTTCTTGCTCCCCCATACGCTCCTGTCCAGGGGGCTCCTTCCAAGCCTTGTCTGGGAATCATGTATTTATTTGGGAGCAGGGGTATAGGAGCACCGGCTGGCCTCTGCCCCACGGCAAGGGTCACAGGGGAAACAATCTGAAGCTCCATTTTGCACAATAGGGGAACCCTCATTTGCATCTAGATTTCGGCAACCTTGAGGCCTTTCCTGGGATTTCCCAAATGCTCAAGTCTTCTCAGTCGAGCTGCTGGTATTTGGTGTCGGAGGAGACCCCAGCTTCCCTTTCCCCAGGCCCATCACAAGAGCCCCAGGCACAGTAGGGAGTCCGCGGTCCCAGCCTAGACCCAAAAGCTGCTTGCAAAGCTGGTGGGACCGCATTGCACTTGAACGTGTCTGTTTTCACCCAGTCCACTGACTTCTGCTCTTGTCCTGGCAGTTTGAGAATGAGTCGGCCTTAAACCTCTACGAGACCTGTAAGGTGCGGACGATAAAAGCTGGGACCTTGGAGAAGCTGGTGGAGTACCTGGTCTCAGCCTTCAAGGGCAATGACTCCACCTACGTCACCATCTTCCTGTGCACTTACCGGGCCTTCGCCACCACCAAGCAAGTGCTGGACCTGCTGCTTAACAGGTGAGGCTGCCCTGAGCCCCGAAACGCAGCTGGGGGTGGCCGGAGTTTGAGCCCCCTTGGCCAGGAGAGCCCCAACATCTTCTGCTGCTGTGCCTTGGAAGGCTGATGGGCTTCTCCCAGCCCCATCAGCATGAAGGTTTTGGGGCAGGACAGGGAGGACACAACCTCCCAGTGAGCTGGAGCCGTTCCAGCGGGTACCCTGCTGGGAGGTGGCCGGTGCTGGCTGCTTCCCTCTTCCCATAACACAGGGGCCATGGCAAACTGGGGGGAGCTGGACAGTGCATGAGAGGTTCATCCCAACCCCCCGGCAGAGCTGGGGGTGATGTGGGGAGAGAAGAGGCAGTGCTGAGACACAGCGGAGTCCAGGATGCTCACTGCGTCCTCGCTGTGCCCCACCAGGTACGGCAAACTCTATGTGCAGGCGAACGGGGACCATGCCAGGCACGCTGTGGACGAGAGGATGGAGCTCAAGAAGTAAGTCTGCACTGTGGGTGAACAAGATGGGTGGCTCTGATGATAGCTCTGTGTTTCTCGTACAAAGGCATGTGTTGTCCCAGGGGTGCTCCTGGTGCTTGGGGCTCGTGCGGGTGCACGCAGTTGCACCCAATTCTTATGCAGGCTTGCCTGTGTTTCTCCCCTCCCTGCAGCACCATCTCCTCCATCCTGGGTGCCTGGTTGGACCAGTACTCAGAGGACTTCCGCAAGCCCCCAGACTTCACCTGCCTCAAGCAGCTCATCTCCTACGTGCGCCACAACATCCCTGGCTCCGACCTGGAGCGCCGAGCCCGCATCCTGCTGGCCCAGTTCCAGCAGCAAGAGCAGAGCGAGTCCGAGGCAGAAGGTGGGGTCCTTTCCCCACTTGTGGGGGGCCATTTGGGGCTGCAGGTGGAGAGAGTGCTACTTGGTTGGCATCAAGGGTCTCCAAAACTCTGCTGAAAAAAAATGCCTGCATTTACATGGAGGTATATCAGGAAGTTAATCCAACTGTACCAGAAGTGGGATTTCTAAGTGGATTAGCTAATCTGCCTTTAATCCTCTGCAGACACTTGTGTCCAGGTTTAAAATTACTATCCTTTTATCTGAGCCTCGTTTCTCAAGGTGTGAAGCCAGATGGGAATTAAGAGCCTGGGAGGTGGGATGTGGGTGTCCGCAGGGGTCTGGCGTGGGTCGGCGTGGGCCCCGGCTTGCGGCAGCGCTGCAGCACTCAGCTTCGCACTGTCTCTCACAGCAGTGGACCACAGCAGCTGCACCTTCCAGCTGGTGGAGGAGAACGGGGTCGGGGACGGGAAGCCGGATTTCCTCTCCTTCTCCCCAGAGATGGTGGCAGAACAGTTCACGCTGATGGATGCTGTGAGTATTCATTTGATGTGCAGGTCAATGGTGCTCTGCCTGCCTGCTACCTGCTGCTTGGGCACAGGCCTGTCTCTTCCCTTCCACCATTTCCTCCTGGCCTGTTCCCTTCCCGAGGACCCAAAAGAGACCCATCTCCATCCCTTTATCTTCCAGGAGCTGTTTAAGAAAGTGGTGCCTTACCACTGCCTGGGCTGCATCTGGTCCCAGCGAGACAAGAAGGGCAAAGAGCACCTGGCACCCACCATCCGTGCCACGGTCTCGCAGTTCAATAGCGTGGCCAACTGTGTCATTGCCACGTGTCTCGGAGACCGGTCCCTGAAGCCACAGCAGAGAGCTAAAGTGGTGGAGCGGTGGATCGAAGTGGCTCGGGTAGGACGGCCTGCCATCCCACTCGCCTCCCTCCTCGGCCCAGGGCTGAGGTTTTGCGGTATGCGAATCCCAGCAGATCCCTGGGCTTTCTTTAACGCTGTGCCCTGTCATCTCCTTGTCTGCTCCCAGGAGTGCCGCATCCTGAAGAACTTCTCCTCCCTCCGAGCCATCCTCTCGGCTCTGCAGTGCAACGCTGTTCACCGGCTGAAGAAGACCTGGGACGAGGTCCTTCGGTAAGCAGCACCTGCTAGGCTCCTGCAGCTGCGGGGAGGTTTAAAGGGGGAGGCTGTGCTGTGGCTGCGGCCCATGAATGTGTAGATGGGATTATCTCAGCTCCAGCATTGCCTCTTTGAGTGTGCCCAAAACCCAGGGACCAGCATAAGGTGTCAGGGAATCTCAGGAGGGTGAGGAAATAAAAGCACCATCACATCCTCCTCCTTTCCATGCAAAACACCCTGGAATAGCCCCCCAAAAGCAAGGCCCTGCTAGAGCTGTGAGCATAGCTGGGATCATTTAGGTGAGCAGAAGACAGCGCAAGGAGGAGACCCCAGGGTGGCACCGCTGCTGACTTTCCCCTTGTGTTTTCCCCTGAGCAGGGAGAGCTTCCGCACTTTCCATGAACTCTCAGAGATCTTCTCCGACGAGAACAACCACTCGCTGAGCCGGGAGCTTCTCATCAAGGTATGGGGAAGCGGCACCCGCATCGCCCTGTCTCTGGCAGCTGATGCTGGCAGAAATTCCCCTGTTGTTCCAGCTACCAGGCTAAAGCTCTGGCAGCGCTGCCAGGGTTGCAGGCAGGGGTGCAGGCAGGGCCTGCTGAGTCTGAGAAGCAGGGCAGGGGTATTTGAACCAGACTGGGTTTTCTGTTTCTCTGCCGAAAAGTTGTCATTGCCTGAAGCTCACAGAGAAATTGGGCAAGCGGAGATAACCAGTGGGATGGGATCCAGTGCACCAGGTGATGGCTTCTCCCCAGAGGCAGCTGCATTTTAACAGCCCGGTGCAAAGTCCTCTTGATTTCAAGTGGGGTTGTAGGGTTTGTGAAAGGCTGCAGCAAAAATGTCCTTCTTCCCCATGGAGACTCTCCGCAGCTTCCCAGCCTAGCTCCAGTTTGGGGACTGAAAGGACACAAGATCTAAAGGGGAACAAAACATGCCATTGAGGAGCTATTTATGGAGAGCTGGAAATGGGAGCAGCAGTTCCTATTCACTAAGCCTCTCCTCCCTGTGAGTGGTGAAGCTCAGCTGTGATTTCCTTCTCTGCCCCTCATCCCTCTTGCCCTCTACAAGGAAAGTTGTACCGATAAAAGCAGGGGTGAATTTTAGCTCATCTACTAGTGCAGTTTCCCACCTGCGCTGATCCTCACCTCTTCCCACCATCCAGGAGGGCACGTCCAAATTTGCCACCTTGGAGATCAATCCCAAGAGGGCTCAGAAGCGGCAGCAGCAGCAGCGAGAGATGGTGAGTCTGGCACAGCTGCCCCCATGCCCCCTTCCCAGCGGCTGCCCGGGCTGGTCCCCGCTCTCTGCTGACCCCGCTGTCCCTTCTGTCTCCACAGGGCGTGATGCAGGGCACCATCCCCTACCTTGGCACCTTCCTTACGGACCTGGTCATGCTTGACACCGCCATGAAGGATTTCCTGGATGTATGTACCTCCATCTCTATCCTCTCCTTCCTCCGCACAGCTGCACCAGAGCCTGAGCTGATAAATGGAGGGCTGGTCCCCCATGCGTCCTATATCTGACACTGCATCCTGCACATCCTATATCCGACACTGCACATCCACCTCTGTCAGCCCACGGAAGTGGGCTGCTCCCGCGCTGCCCTTTGGCAGGGATGCCCACGCTGCAGTGGCAG